CTACACCATTATTATTCATCTCCTTTGACTGTTTTCCCTTGTTTCAGCATTTCTCACTTCTCTGATTAAACTTATTCTTTGACTAAAGTTTGCCAAGGGCAAAAGGCAGGCAGAGGACATTGTGGGGGGGGGGGGCAAGGACCATATGGTCCTCCTCTGTTTCATACTTACAGATCGAACAAATCTAAATTTACCTACTTTTGTCTCCTTGTAAGACCAAGAAGAAACTAAAGATGTTTGGGTTTATGAAACATATATATTGTACCACTGAAGAAAAATTGTGCTATACAAAGTGCATATTTTTTGAGGTTATGAAATATGTTCTTAAGTTTGCCAATCAGAAAATGCTGGTATAACATTTTAATTACTTGTTTCTTGGTTTTGTTAAAACTTTCAAGGGTTAAAAACTGTGATATGTAAAAATGCTAAGTGAAGCATTTTGGTATGTAAAGCAAAAGATACCAAAACCCCAGGTGGAGAAGTTAACTACATGATCATCAGACTGTACCCAGAACTTGAGCTGCCACAATTCCGAGAACTGACCACGAAGAAATGGGAACAAGTGCACCCCAGAACTGAAGATTCACTCTCTCTATCGCTCAGTCGTGTCCGACTCTTGTGACCCCCTGGATTGTAGCCCACCACGCTCCTCTGTCCTTGAGATTCTCCAGGCAAGAATACTGGAGTGGGTTGCCATTTCCTTCTCCAGAAGATTAACTAACTGTCTTAAAACAATCAAGGTGATGCTAGTCAGACCACTGATGACCACTCTGAAGGTGACTGTTAGAGATGACTGTGCTGTTTCTGGATGTTGCCCGCCCCCAACTCTGCCTGTAAACTCTCTCACCCCTTGCTTTTTGGCGGGGGTGGAGGGTGGGTGGGGAGTCAGCCTTTGGACAGATGTCCACTACCCTCCCCTGCAGTTGCCCACATCTGAAATAAAGCAAACTTTCCTTTCCACCAACCTGGCCTGCTTACTGGCTTTTGAGTGGCAAGCAGCTGGACTCCCCATGAGTACCTTTCAGTAACACCAAGATAGGGAATTCTTACTGAAACGTAACCACACTACTGTTATCACTCCTTAAAAATTTATAATAATTTCTTTGTTGCTATTGTTCAGTCGCTCAGCCATGTCTGACTCTTTGCAACCCCATGGTCTGCAGCATGTCAGGCTTCCCTGCCCTTCACTATTTCCCAGAGTTTGCTCAGATTCACATCCATTGAGTCGATGATGCCATCCAATCACTTTATCCTCCTTCTCCTCCTGCCCCCAATCTTTCCTAGCATCAGGCTCTTGTCCAGTGAGTTGGTTCTTTGCATCAAGTGGCCAATGATAACTTCTTAATATCATTGAATATCCAGTGTCCAAATTTCCTAATTGTCTCATAAACATTTTTATTTTCTTTGCTCAAACTAGGATCCTAATAAGATTCATATATTATGATTACTTGATATGCTTTCAGTGTCCTTTAAAATATTTTTTAGTTCCCTGACCAGGGATTGAACCCAGGTCCTTCAGAGTGAGTGAAGTGCCTCCCACCTGGAGAAGACCTGCAAATGAGGGCAGTGGCCCTGAGTATGTACATGGTGTTCAAGGAGAATTCATCTGTCAGGGTGGGGCTGGCCTTCCTGGCCCAAGGATGCTGTGTACTTGAGAATCGGGGTCATACAATGAACTGTTGACAACAGTGTTCACAAAGGTCATGCTAGGATGACACTTTAGGGGGTCATTTGCAGCTCTAGGTTCAGAGCAGACTTCCAGTCTTTATAAAACAAGAAGAGAGAAGCCCAGCTCTCATCACAGCACGTGACAGCACCCTGCAGGCTGCACATCTCTCTGGCCTGTCTGCCCAGCACGGCCATGGGTGGATGTCTCGAGGGTTTGCATCCCTGGCCTGTCACATCTGGAGTTTGCATCATGCTTAGAACAAGGAGGGGCAAGCAGAGACATGCTGAAACGGGATGAGAAGGGGAGGAGGTTGGAGAGGGGATGCCTGTAGGGACCACCAGGGATCTGGGAGCTGCAAGAATGGGAAGTGACGACGGCTCTGGGGAGGTTGGGGCTCTTTTCAGGGCGTGAGACTCAGGTTTTCTTGCCGTCTCATCAGGTGGAGGAGGCGGTGCTGTCATAGCCAGGGGGATGGCCAAGATTATCATTAGGGCCAAGGGACAAAAATTTGACAGGGTGGGGGAAAGGAGGATGTGAGGAGTAGGCATCATCTGGAATGTGCATTTCCTGGGCTATCAGTCACTTAGTCACTCAACAAGCACTGAAGTTCCACCGAATGCACAACACGATCAGACCTGCTGTGAAGACACAGAGGAGGGACGGGTTTTGGTCTTCAAGCAGCCCCCAGTGTGGGTGGGGAGACAGCAGTCCCCCCCACACAACAAAATGCCTGTAAAGGAGCCCCCTGTCCTCTGATTTCTAACCTGCTCTCACCTGAGCCCCTTAAACCAGTCCTGATCTTCTGTTTGAGGGGAAAGGTGGGAATCTGTGTTACTAACATCTAGTCAAAAGAAAGTAAAAAAACCAGCACTTGCTGCCAAGTGTTCCATCTTATTAGCTGTGAAAACTTGGGGTGGTGAGACGGGTACAGCAAATCTCGAGGAGTGTGTCAGAAACATTCGAGCTGACGCCTTGGCCTGGGGCTCTTCTCAACCAGTTCCGGCCGGGGGTGGAACTGAAAAACTTCACACACTGTGTAGTGGAGGACGATAATGTTGGAACAGGTATGCTGGAGGAGCAGACCACTGCTTTTGACGACTGTGTGCCATCTGTGGATGTGCAACAAGGTCTAAAACTCACGGTGGATAGGTGACCTTGAATAAAAGCTTGCAAGACAAAGAAAAAACCTTCTGACACACCCCTCTAGTTTTGCCCTTTCTGTCTCACCATTATCCCAAGGTTCCATGTCTGATAAGATGGAACACAGCAGCATATGCTGTTTTTTTTGGTTTCCTTTGGCTTTTTTTTTTTTTTTAACAATTCATGAAGTGGAGGCAGTGTGAGGATTACAGAAAACAAATCGTCTACAGTTTCACCACCCAAATGTTACTATTGTTGTTCAGTTGCTTAGTCGTGTCTGACTCTGCGATCCCAGGGGCTGCAGCCCGCTAGGCTTCCCTGTCCTTCACCATCTCCTGGAGTTTGCTCAAGTTCAAGTCCGTGGAGTCAGTTCAGTTCTGTTCAGCTCAGTTACTCAGTCGTGTCTGACTCTTCGCGACCCCATGGACTGCAGCACCTTCCCTATCCATCACCAACTCCTGGAGTTTACCCAGACTCATGCCCATGGAGTCTGTGATGCCATCCAACCATCTCATACTCTTACTAACGTGGAATAATGAACAGAGAACACAGCTTTTGTAGCTGAGGTAGGACGAGTCAAAAGACCCAGGACTCGGCCCTGGTTCCCTGTGGGCAGATCCTGGAACTGGGCGGGCCCAAGTGGCTGAACTCTGAGCAGAGGTCAGGGACACAAAGCTAGGGTGGGGCGCAGAGGAGGATCCACTTGTTCTGCTTCCTTCAGTCCACAGTCCCCAGATGGAACTCCACACCCATTGTATGAGTTCCTATTGCTGCTATAAATAAACCACAAGTTTAGTGACTTCAAGCAACATGTTTATTCTCTTACAGTCTAGAGTCTACACAGCTGTGTTGCTAATGGTGGCTCTCAGGGATAATCCATCTCCTCGCCTTTTCCACGGACATCCCCAGCTTGCTGTTCCGCCTCTGACTTTAGAGCCAGCCTCCTGTCTGACCCCTGCCTCTCTCGTTAAGGAAAAAACCCAGCCTGCAATTCAACAGCAATATAGGTTTATGTAGAGAAATCCTTGTGATTATATTGAACCCACCCGGATAACCTAAGAGAATTTGCTATCTCAGGATCCTTGCCTTAATCACATCTGCTGAACGCCTTCATTTTGCTGGGTAAAGTGACCATATTTACAGGTCACCAGGAGGTTAGGATGTGGGGGCGGGGTGAATCTGGTGCCTCTGTTCATCCTGGCCAGCTGCTGTATCCCAGTAATCAGCAATAAGAGTTGCTTCCTTCCTCCTTCTCTTTTCCTTCTAAAATTTAGCTTTTATTAAGTAGGGGCTTCCCAGGTGGCTCAGTGATAAAGAATCTGCCTGCCAGTTCAGGAGATGCAGATGTGGGTTCGATCTCTGGGTCGGGAAGATCCCCTGGAGAAGGAAATGATAACCCACTCCAGGATTCTTGCCTGGAGAATCCCAGGGACAGAGGAGCCTGGGTGCTTTACAGTCCGTGAGATAGCGAAGAGTGGGACATGACTGAGTGACTGAGCACCATACATTCTTATAATTAAAAAAGAGAAACAACAAAGCACTGGGGTGGGAGGCCAGGGAATCTGGGAACCCACTGGTCTGGGTCTGCACTGTGGCCAGGACACTCCGAGGCTACCTCAACCCCCAGAGGGAGGGAGGAGACCCTGCCCCCCATCACTCTGCCCTCTCCCCCTCCTCTCCACCCTGGATCCCCTCAAGCTTTCTTCATCCAAAAAGGAAGAAGCTCTCAAAGACACCCACCCTCAATATAGACAGGTTTCCCTGAGCAATCCTGCTCCATCCCATCTCTTTCACCCCATTTCTCCCCACCGCTTTAAGTGTTGTGGTTTGGACGTCTGTGTCCCGCCTGATGCCCAGTGTGATGATGTTGGGAGGTGGGCCTTTGGAGGGTGCTTAAGTCATGAGGGTGGAGCCTCATGAATGGATTAGCATTCTTATAAAAGAGACCCCAGGGAGACCTGTTACCCCTCTGCCATGGGAGTATGCAGTGAGAAGTCAGAAGTCTTTGACCCAGAAGACGGCTTTCACTTGACCTTGCTGACACCCTGATCTTGGACTTCCATCCTCCAGAACTGGAAGCAATAAACTTTTGTTGTTGATAAGCCACCCAGACTGTGGTACTGTACGATGTTATGGAAGAACTCGAATGAAACTTTTTGGCCAACCCAATATTTTGTTATAGCAGCTCAAATGGATGAAGACAATGGGTAACCACTTTTATTAGAATCATGTGTTATCTTTCAAGAGTATGTATGAGTACATGTATTTCTCTCTTTTCTTATACACAGATTAGCATGCCATCTATTGTTCTATACCTGTATTCTGAGTACATCATGAAGCTCTTCCCAACAGGACAGCGAATATCCCTGCACATATCCCTTTCACAGTCACCTACAATTGCATTGTGTGGGCATTCCAAGGTTTATTAACATCTACAGGCTCTCTCTTGTAGATCTCCATTTCCTGTTGATGGAGGTTTGGGTTTTTTTCCCAGACTTTGCCAGTACAAAGAGTCCTTCAGTAAATTGCTATGTACATCTATTTTTCCTGTGTTTGTAAGTAGATCTCCACAATAACTCCAAGAAGTTGGATCAGTAAGTCAAAGGGAAGAGGAGGTGGTAGTTTCGCTAGATTTTTCCAGTGTCTTCCTGTGCTTGCACTACTTGGCGTGCTCATCAGTGACCCCTAGTCTTCCAGGAGGGAGCCATCAGCCTCAGATTCCTTACACTGACCTCACAGGCCAACCTAGTATTTCAGTGACTGTCATTTGCCATAGCCATGGAGGTCTTCTCTGGGGTGGAGACCAAAGCCTTGGGTTTCTCATCCGTGTGTGTCCTACATGCCTGGCCTGGGGCGTGGCCTCACCCACTGTGCTTCCTCCAGGAAGCCTCCGAAGCCGCCCCAGAGGTGTTTATCATCTGTCCCTGGAGGAGGGGGGCGCTTGGGCTTCAGGTGGGACTCAGTGGGGGGCAGGGGCCTTCACACAAGCCTGTAGGTTCCATTGTAGCTGAAAGGGGGTGGCTTCAAGCAGTCCCCGTCTTCCTCAGGCATCCAGTTCTGGGTGTAGCTGGAGCCATTTTCCAGAGGTTGCACGATTATGAGGTCTCTGGATGCCAGGGACGGGTCCTCTGGGAAGAAGTTGAAGGGTCGGAGCAGGAAGCCCACGGAGTTCCCGGGCGTGGCTGTGTTGGGGATGTCCTCTGCGTGGGGGATGTGCAGGAAGCCCACCGTGACCCAGGCCACCAGATCCTGCGGGACAGAGAGGCAGGCCGTGCTGAGGAGGCTCAGAGGGGAAGGGGTGACCGGCACCCAAGCCCCAGGTTTAAGGAAGGGGCGAATTTGGTGAACCCGGAGCTGGCTTCTCCACCCAGTAAGCTGGTCCTTGCCCTCCTGGGACTTGGCAGGGATCCTGGGACTGGGCAGGGATCCTGGGACCCGGCAGGGATCCTGGAACAAGACAGGGATCCTGGGACCCAACAGGTATCTTGGGACTGGACAGGGATCCTGGGACCTGGCAGGGATCCTGGGACCCAACGGGTATCTTGGGACTGGACAGAGATCCTGGGACCTGGCAGGGATCCTGGGACTGGACAGGGATCCTGGGACTGGACAGGGATCCTGGGACCGGGCAGGGATCCTAGGACTGGACAGGGGTCTTGGGACTGAGCAGGGATCCTGGGACCCAACAGGGATCCTGGGACCCATCAGGGATCCTGGGACCGGGCAGGGATCCTTGGACTGGACAGGGATCCTGGGACTGGACAGGGATCTTGGGACCTGGCAGGAATCCTGGGACTGGACAGGGATCCTGGGACTGGACAGGGATCTGGTCTCAGGGTGGGGCTGGAAAAAGGCAGAGCTGGTACCTCGTCTTCAATGTTCTCATTGTTGTGAAGAAACTCCTCAAAGACGACAGGTGGGTCCCAGGGGTCGTTCTGGTTGTAGATGCTGCTGCTGTACCTCTCTGACTCCCGGTATTTGGTCACCGCTAGGGGGTACCTGTCCAGGCAGAGAAGCCGCGTGACTCTGGGTGCCGGGGATCTCCCAGCCCCTCCCAGGGAACATCGTCAGAGTCAATGAAGGGGGAAAGTTACTGCCTTCCCCTAAATACGGGATCATCCCCTGGGAGTTAGCCAGACTCACTGTCAGTGGAAGCCCCGGGGCTCCGAAAGGGCTCTGCACCCTCCACCCCCAAACACAGAGCCACACACCCAGGAACATGCATGCACACACACACACACGTGCACACCCCCAGATATAGCACTGGATAGATTCAGAATCTCACGGACAGAAACACAGACTCACACGGACACAGGGAGACACAGACACAGAGAGGAGCCTCCAGTCCCTGCCAGCCTCCTGGGCCTCCCTCACCTGGCCCAGGTGACGGCCCGCTCCTCTTGCCAGCCTGGGGGCAGCACTTGCTCGGCCATGGAGTGGATCTGCACTCGGTAGCTGCGCTGGTGGCCCCAGGGGTTCTGCTTGGGGCTAGTAAAAAGCAGGTATTTAGGCAGAGAATGTCCAAAGCGGAAGGCTGCCTGGCGCTCCCGAGAATACCGCATCTGCTGGAGAGCAGGCTGGACCACGCGGTGTCCTGGGCTCCAGGGGTTGGAGATGTTTTCCAGCTTCATCTGCAGGGTCTGGAAGCTATTCTTGGTGCCTGCGGGTGTACAGGGAAGGAGTTGGGGTCAAGCACCTGGAACTGAAGCCTCCTCATTCCACCTTGGGCCCTCTGTCCGGGACCACGCCCAACAGCAGACCGTGGACCGAAGGGGATGTTGGGGACAGGCGCTGAGCCAGATGGCAGTGGAGGGAAGGGGCTGAGGAACTAGGAGAGAGCTCAGAGGTGGCACGGCAGTGGCCATGACTCCACCGTGACCCTGGGGAGTTCCTCTTGAGAGTGGCATCCGAGCCTGTTTGCTGCAGCTGTGGTCCCAGAGCCAGGCAGCTGGCCTTTCCTCAGGGGGAGAGGGCATGTCAATGCCCTCTGGGTCAGGAGCAGACAGGGAGGAGCAGGAGAAGCTGCCCAGCTGGTCCTGGGGGCCTGTTCTAACATGGGATTGATATCAGGTCAAATCCTGCCAAAACACCCATGCCGTCTTTTAAGGCACACATGCTCAGTCACTGCCATGTCTGACTCTTTGTGACCCCGTGGGCTGTAGCCCGCCAGGCTTCTCTGTCCATGGGATTCTCCAGGCAAGAACACTGGAGTGGGTTGCCATTCCCACTCCATTGGAGTAAAGATTCTCCAATCTTTTGTGGTGACACCACTAATTCAAGAGACACAAGGAGTATTCCCAATGACGCTGCATCCACTCAAAGCTCCAGGCCGGGACGTGTCTTTCACCTAGGCAATATCCCCTCCACTGCCCCGTGCACACCTTTGCACAGGGTCCATCCTCCACAGGGGTCAGTGCAGGGGCAGCCCCTGGCACTGTTCATGTCACCATTTTGCAGGGACACACAGGTTTCCACAGGCCCCATACCTGCAGGCTGGGCAAACCTTCCTGACATTATGTCTCCAGGGGAGACTTGGCACCATCATCTCCCAGGAGTGTGTTATTGCTGGGGTGCAGACATTTGGCCAGGTGGGTGGTCCCAAGCCCGGGTCCTACCTGCCACATCCAGGTCGACGCGGTAATGTATGAGGTGGGTGTGCATGTTGCCCATGAGGTGCGTGTGCAGGCGGGTCCCGTGGCGCAGCCCCTCGGGGGTGTAGAAGGTGGCATGGATGTAGCCGGTGGCATGCATCTTGGCCTCCATCACCCCGTTGGGGTAGAAGATGAAATCCCAGATGTAGTCATAGTTGTAGACAGTCGACGTGGTCCTCAGCACCAGCGCCTGACCCTTGAGCCCCGCATAGAAATTGAAGCCACCGTTGAAGTTGGAGTCGAAGTGCCGCCGGATGGGCACCCCCGTGGGCATCTCGAAGAGACAGAGGGCCCGGGGGTAGAGGACGGGGCCGTCGTCGTCGTAGTAGTGGAGGGCGTCCAGGAAGGTGGCCGTGTCCGGGCAATCGATGCCAGGGGCCAGCTCATGAGTGACGCTGCCCAAGCCCCAGCCCACGTCCAAGTACTTGGTTTGCATGCCGGCGGGCGTGTGTCCTCCGTACAGCGCCGCGGCCTCCTGCACGCTCACCTCGTAGGCTACGCGCTCACCGCCAAAGCGCACGTCCAGGACCTGCAGCCCGGAGGACGAGCGCAGGCGGAAGGAGAAGCTCCAGCCGGCGTAGCGCACCGTGTGGCCGTCTAGGCTGTAGCGCGCGCCCTTGGGCTGCACCAGGCGGGGGCCGCTCTTGGAGACGCCCAAGTCCCCGCGTAACTGGTAGGAGGAGAAGAGGGCCGCCTCGGGCAGGTTCGCTCCGTCCTTGCCTTTGGCGAGAGGGTCCTCCAAGACCACCGCGTCCACCTCTCCATCGTCGTACTTCTTAGCCAGCTCCTCGGGGCTCCGGTAGAACCTCCCGTTGTACCAGACCCGCTCCACCGTCCAGTCCCGGGGGTTCGTGCTTTCATGGTCCAGCAGAAGCTCCATCCCAGTGGGGTGCAGGAAGTAGCCTTCGATTTCCCGCTGCAGGATGAACCAAGTGCGGCGCTGGCCGGAGGCCACGCCTCGGGGTGACACGTCGGTGAAAGTCAGGCACCGCTGGGAGCAGTTTCCGAGCACAGCGCCCGCTGTGCGCATGAAAAACCGGTGCAGGGGCTTGGTGGCCTCCTGCAGCATGTGACTCAAGAGGGCGTACTCTGCCTTGGAGATGGGCCTGGAGGCCCAGGAGGCCTGGTGCCTGGGCCTGAACGGCAGGTGTCGCAGATACCGGGGCCTTGGCAGCGGCCCCACGGCAAACTCGGTGATGTTGGGCTGCTCCTGGGCTCCGAAGAAGATGACGGCACGCGCCTCCCTAACGGGAGGCTGGTGGCCTTTATCCAGAAACTTGAGCACGTGTTGCTTCTTGGGCAGCAGCATCTCAATAAGGAACACGGAGTTCTTGGCCACGGTCAGCGTGTTGGATGACTCCAGCCTCAGCTCCTTCTGGGACCAGAGGAAGCTGTGCACGGCCTTGATTTCTTGGGCACTCAGTTCCGCAAATACCCTGCCCTTATCTCCGGGGTGCCGCGGGGCGCCCTCTGCCGCAGCCAGCGTCTGCAACACCAGGATGGCAGCGCCTGCCCAGCCGAGGGCCAGGGTCTCTCGTCCCATGGCTCTGGAACGCAGCAGAGGAGATGAGCTTGGCAGTTTTGTGGGAGGAAGTGAGTGTCCCCCAGGTTGGGTCTTGGATTACCCTGGCCCTTGACCTCATGGTGTTCCCTCGGACTCACTTCCTGGCTTGCAGCCCTCCGATATGAATTCTGCTCTCTCCTCCCTGGTCTGTAACTTCCCTGGTCTGTAACCTCCCTGGTCTGTAAACCTCTTTTAGTCCCGTGGATGCTCTTACCTGTGCAGACTCCTTCTCCCCTCCTCTGTGCCTTATCTCTGCAGGGCAGAAGCGCTATCTCTCCAGCTTTAGGTCACTCAGAGATTCGCAGTGCCTCTCCCCCAAAATGCTACAGCGTGCTGGCTGTGCCATGGGTGTTGGCAGCAAAACTGTGTTTTTGATACAACACAATGTTTTTTTATACAGATAAAATTGGAAATGTAGTGTGGAAGTTCAAAGAGTTGATGGTTCTAGTGCTAATACACGGTACCACTAGGACAAGCTGTGTGACCTTGGGCAGCTTGCTTAAACTCTCTGGGCCTCCATTCTCACAACAGTGAAATGGAAAACAACAATGCAAGTAACTACTTATGGAATTGTTAGGAAAAATCAGTTGGACGATGAGGATAAAGTGTTTAGCACAAAGCCTACTTTCTAGGAAGCACTCGAGAAATGCAAACCACTCAGCGTTTTTCCCCAGTAGTCATGAAGAATGTGAGAGTCAACCATAGAGAGGGCTGAGAGCCAAAGAATTGATGCTTTTGCACCGTGGTTCTGGAGAAGACTCTTGAGAGTCACTTGGACATCAAGATCAAACCTGTCCGTCATTGGAGGAACTGCTGCTGAAGCTGAAGCTCCAATACTTTGGCCATCTGATGCAAAGAGCTGACTCATTGGAAAAGACCCTGAAGCTGGGAAAGACTGAGGGCAAGAGGAGAAGGGGACGACAGAGGATGAGATGGTTGGATGGCATCACCGACTCAATGGACATGAGTTTGTGCAAGCTCTGGGAGGTGGTGAAGGACAGGGAAGCCTGGCGTGCTGCAGCCCATGGGGTGGCAAAGAGTTGGACACAACTGAACAACAGCATGCGGATATACTCTCTGGTGTCAGATTGTTTAAACTTATGAGCCATGTAGGGTGATTTGACTGGTTCGGCTATAGACCTGTGCCCCCATAGGTGAGGGGGAGAATGGGGTGGCTGGCCCTGCCAAGCTTCTTTGGCCTCTTCAGTGATGCCCCACAGTTGTGACCACTTGGTCATCCAAGGCCAAGGCCATGAGGAGGGCACCTCAGGATGTCATCATCCCAGGGGGCAATTCGAGGTGATGTCCTTTTCCCTTCCATTCGAGGGGAGGCTGTGGTCAGGGTCTCATAGCCCACCCCCCGGAGCTGACATTACAGTCTTGACCTCTCATCTCTGGTGGGGAGTCTCAGGGACTCACGTGATCTTCTCTCCAGCCTGAAGGGGTGGGGGAGCTCTCAGGGCTGCTCAGTGAATCCAGAGCAGAAAGATAAGCTCTTGTTCTGCTATTAAGTTTTGCTCCAGCCTAGTTTCTTTTTAAAATTAGACTTGACTTTGGAAAAGTTCTAAGTTCACAGCAAAATTGAGAGAAATGTACAGAGAAATCCCGTATGCCTCCTGTTTCCCCTCCCCCACCCCCACAACCTGACCCACTAACAACATCCCTCACCAGAGTGGTACCTTTGGTACAGTCTGTGACCCTACAATGATACATCATTGTCACCCAGTAGTTTACATGATGGAGAAGGCAATGGCACCCCACTCCAGCACTCTTGCCTGGAGAATCCCATGGATGGAGGAGCCTGGTAGGCTGCAGTCCATGGGGTCGCTAAGAGTCGGACACAACTGAGCGAACTTAACTTTCACTTTTCACTTTCATGCATTGGAGAAGGAAATGGCAACCCATTCCAGGGTTCTTGCCTGGAGAATCCCAGGGACGGGAGAGCCTGGTGGGCTGCTGTCTGTGGGGTCGCACAGAGTTGGACATGACTGAAGCGACTTAGCAGCAGCAGCAGCAGCAGTTTACATGAAGGTTCACTCTGGGGGCTGTACATGCTGTGGGTTTTGACAAATATGTAAAAGACTTGCATCCATCTTTATGAACCACACAGAGCAGTTTCAGGGTCCTCAACATCCTTTCCACCCCAGCTCTTCATCCTTCCCTCAAACCTGGGTGACCACTGATATCTTTACTAACCCGGGAGACCACTGATCTCTTTACTGTCTCCATAGTTTTGCCTTTTCCATCATGTCATGCCATCAGGGTGATACAGCATGCAGCCCTTTCAGACTGGCCTCTCTGGCTCAGTAATATGCATTTATGTTCCTCCATGTCTTTTTTGTGGCCAGGCCCCTTTCATCTTCCCCTCTGATGAAATTAAATTTATATTTTAAGGCAGGACAAGAAAAAAATTAAACATAGAATTTCCTCTCTGTGTTTCTTTGGACCTCCTCCCTCCCCCACTCCCTAACATGCCGTGTGTGTCTGCAGTATACGTTAACCAGAGCGCCTCAAAGATGGGGGTGCCTGCTGGACCGTAAGGATCCATTTTTTTCCTCCTTCTTTTGATGCTAGCAATGTAACCTCTTAAAGGATCACTGTTCTTTCTCAGCTCTGTAGGGGCCACGATGACTTGCTGCTTGCTATACGTGCTTACTTGGATTATGTATCTTTGGTGAACTTAATGTAAAATATCAGTATATTATTTTGATGTATGATCCCTTTGTCTTGAAAATGTATAAGACTGTGCCTTTGACTTCTAATAAGTGGAACAGTTCTCAGAGCTTTCTGAGAATCTGTTTCCAGGGTTATAATCCTCTGTTTAACTCAATTAAAATCCCCCTTTTTCTTCTTAACTTGGTAGTTAATTGAATTTCCATCAGCTGTTTTCTTGGCAGAGTTGGCAGTCTATCAGAGGCACCTGGAGACCTCCCTAAACCGAAGCTCGGTACCAGCACAGGCTCTTTGAGTCCCACCCAGTTTTTGGTATTCCTCAGGTGCTTTGGTGAGTTCTCCGATATCTGGACATCATTGCTTTAAATGATGTCCTGAATTTTACTGGACCTATTTTTCATTCTCTTTCTTTAAGAAAAAAATTTTCTTGACTGTGCCATGCAGCATGCAGGATTTTAATTCCCTGACTATAGATCAAACCTGTGCCCCTTGCATTGGAGGCCCAGAGTCTTAACCACCTGACCACCAGGGAAGTCCCCTGACATGTTTTTCTTGGGACTTTTCTGTTTTTCTTGGAGCCCTAAATGTGGTAACTGTACATTTCCTAGGCAGGAGACCTGTGGGAAATTCTTAAGTGGGGACCTCGGGGAAACTTTGGCAGGAACCAGGTTGGCTGTCCTTCTTAAAGATTTGGCTTAAATTGGAAAGATTAGGTGTATATGGTCCGAACAAACTGTTTGCCAGTGAAATGAAGACTGAGCCTGCTCAACTGCAAAGGGAAAAGGACATCTGCTCCTTCCGGCCACAAGGTGCTTCCAGGTCACTGAGAACCTAGCAGAAGTGGTTAAGGGTCTATCCTCGTGATGTGTAGTGAGCCCACAGACAGTCTCAGTATAATCATTAAAAAAATCCTGCTCGCTGGGCAGGCATAACAAAGGCTGATCATCTCTCGCCCCGAGCGCCCAGGGCAGTTTTAGACTGTCAGAGGGAGGAACCAAGACATGTAAGAGAGTCAAAGCGACCTGTGATAACTCCTTGGGCAGCTAGATTCAGAAGCAGCACACATTTGGTCCATCACACTGTCCTCAGAAAGTGGTGCATTTCATATCTGAATCAGGCTACCAAAGTAAGAAAGGAAACTGGGTCTTGAAGGTTGATCTGCTCCCAGTTGGGCAGCTGCTCACTGGAACTCTGCACCTCCAATGCAAGGGGCACAGGTTTGATCTATAGTCAGGGAATTAAAACCCCACATGCTTCATGGCACAGCCAAGAAAAGTTTTTTCTTACAGAAAGAGAATGAAAAATAGATCCAGTAAAATTCAGGACATGAATTCATGTAATTGGAATGAAGCTGGTGCTTGCAGGTACTAATCTTCACTCTTAAATGGCCAGGATGGAGCTTTTTTGACATTCTAGAAAAAGCCACCTTGATAAAAGACCTTTTCAAAATTCTGACCCTGAGAGAATAAAAATATTCCTCAGAGGATGCTTGAAGGAAGTTATAACTCATACTATGTCCTTGAAACATAAACATAGCTCACATTACCTGAGACGACAGCCTTAGCTCAATTAGTAGAACTTAAAACTAAAAGGAGAAAAGAAGAGGGAAAAAGGCTTTTAAAAACTCAAGTAGGAAAATTATGACATCTCTATCTGTGTATGGATGTGTTTGTCTGTGTGTGCATTTATAAATATGGTATGTCCCTACCTCTGGATAGTGTTATCAAAATTAATTTGTAAAAGAGCTCTATTTGACTTAAAGGTAAATGCTTACAAATCAAATATTTCTAAATGTAACTTTAGCCCACTTCTTAAAGGATAATGTGATCCAGGATTAACTTTTAATGACTAAGAACCAGTTTAAATTGGTAGTTTAATTAACACAGACATGTCTTTAGAGTCTCACCATTAAGTATAATACTTTTATTGTACCTTGGTTAACTGAAAATTGATAAACTCATATTATTTCTGTTCCAAAATTTGTAATGAGATAATTAATGGTATGATGATATTTTCATAAGTAATAGAAGAGAGATAAGGGGATAAAGCCTTTTGGGTAAACTTTCTTAAGATAATATGTTTTATGGTGTGTCTACCTAAGAACAATTTCTTCAGACCTCTGATGACTTGAAACTTCAGAGTTCTGCTAAATTAAATGATAGAAATTCTTTGAATGTCTAGATCATTTTTAAAAATTTACTTATTTATTTGGCTGTACTGGGTCTTAGTTATGGCATGTGGGATCTTTAGTTGCAGCTTGTGAGATCTAGTTCCCTTGATCAGGGATCAAACTTGGGCCTCCTGCATCGG